CGCTGGTTAATTAGCGATAAGCAACGCGAGGTGTAGAGCATACGTTGTTCATGTACAATGATAATATTATTGTAAAATATATTTAATATGGACTTATATAGAGAGAAGTTGTTTTCAAATCAGAGCTGACATCCAGGTCCTATAGTATAATGACTACGATTCAGATCTGATGTGGAAGTAGCTAAAGATTAATTCGTACATAGCAAATTACTGTAATACCTTTATCGTATATAAATAGTGACTGAATGAAGTGGAATATATGAGAACTATGGTGAAATGATTTCTCTTTTTCATGGATTAAGCGGAAATAAAATTTCTGAGATACGCGTTGCAGCGTTATCTATGTTTTCCTCCCTTGCATAAGTGTCTACTAATAATTTTTAATCGACCCTTACTTTTTCGCCGATAAACAAACCAACATTTTAGCAGTGAGCTTTTTTTAAAGCGCGATCGAAAGAATTGTTGATCACCGAGTGGAAATTTCTCATTGTCTTATTTGCTCCAAGTCATTATGACTTTTTATTGCGAGATCTTACAGCACATCCCTGCTTTTATTAGTCCAATATTAAATATGTTAATATTATTGTGTATTTGAACTGTGTTGCGAGTGTACAGATAGATTATACAATTGATGCACTTATATCTAGAGGAAATCGCACACACTTTGAGACACCAATAGTACACAAGTCTATCTAATACAGTATGTTTTATTATGTAAATGTGTGCAATGAAAAGAAAGGGATTCTCGTAGAAACGCGGGGATCTTGCAATGAAAATTCAACAGTATGTATTACGCGATAAAACTTGAAGAATTTTCTGGCCTTTAATGCCAAATAGGTTTGCCTATACACCAAGTATATAATAGCACAGAATATAAATATTTCCTTGTAAGTCGCACTTCTCCGAAGGATGTTTATCGGAACTGTACGTTACGAAGGAACATAGGTCTTATCATTCCATTTTTCTTTCTCTTTTGTCATATCGGTAATATTCACGAGTATGTCCACCTGAGATTTTCGATTGTAAATAGTGAAGATCAAGTGTAATATACGTGTAAATAGTTTAACATTAAGCTTCGTGTATCACACTGGACCTTTTCTTGATTACCTTGTGAAATCTCAGTTCTTAGAGTGCCTCTAGCGTTAGCACGTTGTGTGATATACGAGCGTAGAATTCCGGCGATTGAAATCAAAACCCAAGCCCTGTAATAGCGAGTTTACGTAAACCTTACCTTACCTTACCGCTTTTAAAGATGTATCGTAGAGGTAATTTTTCTTTTTCGCATGTATCTTACATGAAAGAGACTATTGTACGGTTCGATATTAGAATTTCTATGAAATATATATATGCATATGTAAGAAAGTGTCCAATTTCGTTGATAATTAATCGCTGAATCACGTTTGTCCATGCCAAATTTTTTTTTGTTTCAAAACTACGATGCGCGCAACGATGAGTTTATAATATTTACGTAGTTTCTATCTATTCTACGATACGTGGATTCTGTTCCAGTAAGCATCGTGAAAATCGTGTTAAGAAAACCTTGATAATCTATGGCTTCCTTTTAGATGAATTGCATAACGATTCCGATTCCGAAGATCACATGATGCTCTCGAAATTTTCCTACTTTCAGCCAATGTCGGCACGCTCGCGTTGATGTACATACGTCAAGGTCACATTGGTTTATTCATCAAGTCACAGTTCATGAAGGCACACGAATCTGCTATATAATTCCAGTCACGATTTATTAGTAAAATCTCATTACGCCAATAATCTGAAGCTTAATTTAAATTAAACAAAAAAAATTTTTTTTAAGTTCTGTCCTATTTAGAACAGAAGCAAAGCCAAAAAGGTCAATGTTACAGTACAAAGAAAAAGTATATACCTAATTTAGAAGAAACGCAGGAAAAAAAACGAGAAGATTGATCTTTCTGCATTATTTATTCACATAAGGTTTAGCAAAAGTTGTATAAATGTTAATATTAAGTAAAAGTTGTATAAATGTTGAGAAACTTTAGTAAACTTAATATTTTTAGTAAACTTAATAGTATGGATTACAAGATCTTAACTTATGCTATATGTTGATTCTTAAATATTCTAAATAGGTTACGCCCAGATACTTTTTTGAAATAATTAAGTTTGCAAAATAATGAATGAGGCTTGATACAATAGTCGAGATTTGATAACTATTAATAGGATCGATTGAGATAATCCTAATAGGAATACCCATTTTGCTTCAGAGATAATATTCACGTTTATCGATATTTGTCTATCGGTATCTTATTAAGAAATATGTAATTAATAATAATAATACTTTTCAATTATTTAAAATACCGATAAACATTGCTAATCGTATATGGAATATTTCTGCGAAGAAGACAAGCAAAACAGGAATATTGTCATTATAGTTTATGAATTTAGTTTATTCATTGGCTGCATTCCGATATTCACTGTCAGTACTGCAAATCTATATTTTACGTCACGTATACTGTAGATTTTCAGTACTGAAAGTTGCTGACAGTGAATATCGGAATGCAGCCATTATGTTACTCTGTAATTTTTTCTTTTCTTTTAGTGGAGAAACTGTCATTAATTAAATTATCCGCTAAGGAGTTGAGACTCTGGGCGAAATTCAGTCTCGTATACATCTTTCGTTCTTTTTTTTAAACTCAGTTCTATAAAAGTCTTAAGTGTCTCAAGTTTAAATTTTTTAAACATTGATACAGTAGATTAGCTGCGTCATAAGACTGCATCTCTCTTACGTTAATCTATAATACGACGCGCTAAATTCGTTTGCATACACAACCCACGAAGATGTGATAGATTGCATCTTAAACATTTTGTACCATTACTTTGAGCTTTGTACGAGATAGGAAACTTTGGAAAGTCACAGCAGACGATATATCTCGTCGACGATTTCTAACAAGAATCGTAAGTAGTTAATAATTATATATTTTACTCCGTATAGTTGCTCTAATGCCCATTTCTACCAATGTAGATTAACTTCTAATCTCGGTTTAACTTACTTTCTATCTTTTCTAACTTTTAGAACTAGGAAAAGATGACAGGTAAGTTAAACCAAGATCAAAATTAACCTGCGTTGATAGAAATAGGTATTAATCTTTCAAAATATTTAACTTTTCTGTGGTTATTATAATTATTCCTCGTTATTTTTAATCTATCATTATTCTAATTTTTACTGAATATCGTATCTTCTAAATTACCCTCAGTCTTCAGAATCTTACTTCAACGTATATGGAACGTTGAATTAACTATTAATACTGTTTTTAACTTTTACTGCAATAGAGATTCGATCTTATAACTATCCTCAGTCTTCAAAATATATGTGATCTAAAGCGAACCTTTCGGAATAGTACATTGTCCGTTAGGGGACGGTTCTACGATCGGAGCCGGACCTGCAGGCGGAACTACGCATTGAGGAATATAGGACTGCGGCCCCAACGTCGGGCTCCATTGTTCTTGCATGTGTGGCGATGGCGGCGGTACAGCGTGATACTGCATCGATTGTGGATACATCATCGGCTGCGAGTACATCAACGATTGACTGTTCGTTGGAGAGTGACCTGACGGGTAAGCTTCGGTCGTGGAATAGTAATGCTGCGGGTATGATGGAGGGGCAGCTCCGGTCTCAACAGCGTCGGCGTGCTGAGATGATAAGTACGGCACGGGTACGTAACTGCCGTTTCCCAAGTAGTACGGGGGACCCCCCGAGTTGCCCTCGTTCGCGTAGTGCGGCGGAATCTCGTGATATTGATATATCGGGCTCGATGTTGTATACTGCGACGGTGCGTAACCGTTTGCCGCGCTAGCTACCATGGGCGCTATCTGATGCGACATCGGATCCCAGTGATGCTGCTGCTGCTGCTGCTGCTGCTGCTGCAGCTGCGATTGTTGCATGTGCACATCGTGTCTTCGCGCGTCATACGAATTCACGGAACCATTCGGCGCACCATACTGCTGCTGACCTGGGTATTGCAAGTATGCCGCTGCGCGAGGATTGTGCTGGCGGTTTCGCATCTTATTCACTACAAGAGAAAGTGAGATTTTTTATTATTAATTTTAAAATACACTGTTTTCTCACAGGCTTCACAGATTTCCGTCAAACTGAGAAAGCTCAAACGGATCTTGAGAAAAAGAAATGTACGTACAATAAAAGAATATATTAGTTATATATTAGTCGAGTTTTCATATTCATATTTTACCCTCCAAATTCATTCGTAACGGTTGGATGCACACGTATAAAAATATATATATATGCAATCAATTTAGAACAATTATATATTGTAAAATTATATAGAACAGAGATCATGCCGGTTGAAAATCTCTCAAAGTTTCCGAATAAATATTATCACACATTAAATTCGATTTAATATTCACTCATTTAAAATCCTTTCAAAACACAAGATAGAGTAATTTAGTAATTAAAAAAATGAAAGAGATCTAAGTTCTTAGTCAAAATCGTAGTCTGCCTAGAAAAAATTCAAGACAGTTGGAAATTCAAAACAAGAGATAATAGAGAAAAAGGAAAGACTATAAGTAGATTGTATAAATTAATAAAATAATAATTTAAAAAATAATAAAATAAACAAAAGCAGATATGAGATAATTAAAGTTAAAACAACGAACGTTCAAATTTAGAAGTAAAGTAAAATTATGGCTTACCCAAGATAATCTGAACATATAATCAGAAACACACGAAGAACAAGACTGTACCGAAACAAACTAATAACAAGCAAGGTATCTCTTACCACAAAGAACACTATCACCAAACATTAACAGTAATGTCAAAATATAAATAAATATGCTGACATTTAACGGTTATTTATATTGAAAAATACATCCTTGATATTCGTATGTGTTATTAGTTAGTCTCTTCTATACCGTCTTGTTCTTTGTTTGCGAGTCCTGCTCATCAGGACCACCTGTTTGTCTGGACAATTTCCAGTAAAAGTTTTAATCATATTTTAATTACTACAATTTTATTTTGAGCGTTTGTTGTTTCAATTATATTATTTATTTGCTCATTTAATTTATATTTTTATGAACAACTAATTAACATAGTTTTATTTTGCTTTTCTTACTATCTCCTGTTCTGAATTTGGGCTTGCTTCTTTTCTCTAGGTGTATTATAGGTGTATATAATATTTCGATTTCAAGTTTGAACTTTAATATTTCTTTTTTTCTTAAATCTTTGGACTTCATCTCGCGTTATGAGAGACAATAAAAGTGAATGTTCCTTTAAGTTTTAACAATCCCTTTTTAAACTCTATATTCACTCCCTCAAAGTATTGACATATTAAATCTTAATAATTATTATTACCTTTAACAGTTCCAGTTTGTTTTCCTTTCTGCTGAATCTGATACGTGGAGTCCTTCCCGTTCAAATTTTTTGGTCCTTGTTTTGACTGTTTTGCATTTTGCACACTATTCAAATGCAAAACTTTGGGAGTCTCAGCATTGGCACTTGGTCCCTCATTGTATGTTAACGAACAATTTTGCATGTCATTAACAAGACGATCTATTTCCTCTTGCATATATGGGACATCTACAAAATTACAAAAATTATTAAAATAGATCACATTACCAATCTTTTACATGGATTTTTGTGTTATAAATTATTGTTCATACGAGTATTCGATTGTGCGCCTATAGATTGTATGCCTTGACTCGGTCCATACATTATCGGTCCGTAATAAGTTGGATTTAAAGTACGGAAAGTATCCTGTGCGAAGAATTACATTAATATAATGATAAGTTATAATTATACTCTTCCGTCTACTACATACCTCCAAATGCAGCAGATGTAAGTTATAAAATAAATTTGATGAATCTAATAAGAAATGTAAGAGAAAATATATTATTTGCGAACATTGTGATATGCAAGCATAACCATATTTTATATATTATATGTACATACATATATATATATATATATATATGTACATGTCACAGTAAAAGCGTGAAATCAATAAATGTATACATTTACTGATTTTCACGCTTTTACTGTAACATTAAAATTCATAATTATAATTTTGTTCACAATATAATATCGATATCATGATATATATAATGTCATTAAATACATACAATCTATTTGATTAGGATTGTGTTCCCCAGTTATCGAGAAATTTCCTGGCATATATGGATAATAGGGATATGCGTTGCTGTTATCTGGGGCAACATAAGATACATTTGGATTGCTACACATATTTATTTGCGAGTTACCTGCAACTAATATAATGGCAGATCAATATAGATTCCGATATCATTGCGAAAGAAAAATTAAGACTTGCATATCCGATTGCCAGTAAATTAATTTAATTTCAAATATATAAAAAAAATTTATAAATATTTTCAACTGTAATATATGAGACGTTATTTAGAATTACCATTGTAAGGTGAGCAATAATTCTCATTTAATACTTTTGATTTCGATCTTGAATTCTGAAGACTGTTTCCAAAATTATTGGATTTTTCAGTCTTATTTCTTGTAGTATTGTTCACCCTTCTAAATACTGTATCAGGTTTTTTGCGTTCTTCCATTATTTCCTGCGTTACATTGCTCGACACTGTGCATTGTGAATTCTCAAATGTAGTTGTCATAGGTAAGTTATTAGCCTCTTCCTACAAACAAAAGACAAAAAAAGACGCGAAAAGCGTTTTTATAATTTAAATATTTCGAACACAATGTCACAAAATTTTACTTACATTTGTCGCACGATTGGAAGTATTTTCTCTAGAATGATTTTCTGATGTTTGATTTCGGTTTATTTTACTAAAAACCAACACATTTGTAAAGTTTAGTTTTTTTTATCACAAAAAATGCGAAACAATACTATCTTTTATAAAAGACAGAATGCAGATAATATATGTATATTGATAAATACATACGAAAGTTCATCGCGATGTTCGTCAGAGCCAGTTTTACTAGTTTTGTTGATATCAACATTATCAACCTTATTATTACCATCATTATTGTTATTCATTAATACATTTTTGTTTATATCATTTGGTATTTCTTCTATAGTTATGGCATTTATAGTTATGGTATCTTTTCGCTTTCGCGAGAAAGAATTATATGACTTTTTCCATCGTCGAGCTAATAAAATACAAAATAAAGATCCATTATATGTAAATAAATAACGATAGTAACATTATTTAATAATTTAATAAACTAACTTGAATCTGAAGCAACTGAGTGGTTTTTATTAATCGGTACAAAATTTTTCGGCCTAGTTTTTTTTACTGAAGGTAATGGCTTGAGAGCATCATATGGAACAAATTTTTTCTCTCCCAGATCTTTGATAAAGACTAGAACTGGCTCCTTTTCTGTACTCATTTCCTGTATATAACCGTGAAGCCAAAGAGGCCCTTGCTTTAATTTTTGTTGCTCAATTTTATTATTAGTCTCGCTGGTACCACATTCCGGTAAATTAACGCGCAAATTCTTATTGTTATTTCTATCGCATTGTTCGAGATCGTTTATGCTAATTTCTATTAGACATTTGCCGCCAATTTGAAGCTCATTACTGTTATATCTGTTCCATCCTGCAGATTTTACCTCTGTGCATACAAACAAATTTTAATTTTAAGTATTTTAGTCTTGCTCGAAAAAGAAGAGTAAAGAAATTCCTATACCTCGTTTCAATTCATGCCATATGTCTAACTCTATATTACGATAATAATCAGGAGCCAGCGCTTTTGCAACTTTATAAGGAATAGGTGGTGCTCCCTTCCAATCGGATTCCGTTTCGTCCGTGTCACTATGTTCATCTTTCACCTTTTTGTATAAATCTTCAATCAATTGCCTACAGAAATATACCTCATTTTTAGAAACAATCTATATTTTTAAATAATTAAAAACTCAATGTTTAATTTTCGTCAGCAATAAACGTGGCATATATTGAGACTTCATTAAATGACTTACTCCCTAATGTCAAGATTTCCCTTCTGGAAAAATCTGTCATGTCTAAGCGCAGGGGTTCGGTTATGTAGCATTCTATCCGCAACAGTCTTTATGTTAGGTATTTGATACATATACCTATATACAACTTCGTAAACAATAGCTACCAAAAAAAAAGATAAAAATAACAGAAAATTTTGAAAGACTCGTCTTTAGACGTGACACAGTGCGTATTAATAGAAAATGAAAATGTCTACGTACATTGACAGTACGCGGCCGATTGTACAAAAGCCATCGGATAAACGGGCTCATATTGCTTGGGCTCCGTGTGACAAAGCAGTATAACGCCTTTCTTAAACCCATTATTGGTAACATTTTCGCATATCTGCTTTTCTCCAACGAATATGATTATGTCTCTCTTATACAGCAGAGAAATAGCATAAATTTCGTTCAAGCCTCCCCACTCCGTGAAACACTGCATTTCTTTGAGATAGTAATCAAATGACACGGGTACGGACTACGGAGAGAGAAAAAGAAAGAGAGAATAGAAAAGTAAACGCCAATTCTCTTCATACAAAAACGGGCAATTATATAGATACTTACGTCCCTAAACAAGTGTCTCTTTTTCTTCATAAATTCGATGCATTCTTGTCTTACTCGTAGATGATAATGTTGGGTATGATACACTTGTTCGCTGATTGCCCTAAACAAGCAGGTCGGATCTCGGGGAGTAGGTTTCCTGAAATAACCTTCCTTCGCCAGCCATTGGTCCACTGGCTCCTGTATCCGTTTCGACATCTCTGTCAACGTTACCATTCAATTTACTACTAAAAAATATGTATACCTAGCTGACAAAGCGTATGACTTTTTTATTATCTCCATATATTACCTTCCTATATTTGTTTTCACAATGTCAGATATTATCAAATATTCTTTTTCTTTGATATACTCTATCCACAGGGTATCCTAATTCAAGTAGCCACCTCTTTTTATTTTCTAAAAAAAAGAATAACAATACAAACGATCAAAGAAAGTAAATTTTGACAAATGGATACCTCGCGAATATAAAGGTTCGAACTAAGCCTTTCTTCTTATATTTATAGTAATAAACTTGATTAATAACGTTTAATTTACTTTCTATCAATGTTAATAAAGTAATGTATAATAGCGGTATCTAAGAACATCGATAAATATAATTAGCAGCATCTAAGACCATTGATAAAAAACAAGTATTTATATAGGTTTCTATGGTTTATATTAAAATGAGAAATTTATGCTATATAAAATTAAGGAATAGAAAATTGAAAAAAAATTCCTGAACGTCAAAATAAATTACATACGACCATACAGGTTACCTATAAATGTATGTGGTATGCTGCAACATACAAAATACACAACACAAAATTTCGTCGAAACGAAAGTAGACCTCCTGCAGTCTAGAAAACACTATTTAATACGACTTACAAGAACAATTAAGGAAAAAAGATCGTTCTTTTCAAGAAGATTCGGTCTTCAATACACACTAAAGTGTACGCGAGATATGCGGAAATCAATTTCAATTAATCTTTTGGAAAAATTGTATAAGAATAAAACACGGTTATTAGGCGTTATGTCGACAAAGGGACTGAGGGACTTAAGGGACAACGAGGCATCATGGAAGGAATAACGATGGAAGACGCGACAAGGTAACACATAAATTAGACAAGGATCGATTTATAGATTTCACGGGAGAATAGATCAATAATCGATCGTCCGGCCAATTTTCTTCGACCTACGGCGTCTTCGCCGCGGAGATCCAAGGTCGATCGAAAGTTGCGAAGAAAAGTGAAAGAGGAAAAAAACCGTCGCCGTCGGTCCCGCGGGGCGTGGTATCCATTTTTCGGGAAAGCAGAGACCAGACTTTCTCGCGATACAGCGACACCCGAACGAAAGGCTCTCGCGAAGGAAAAGACTCGCGAGGAAACGGGAAGGAAAGGGAGAAATGTTCACCTTGCTCTTCTTCACTCACTCCCTCGGCAGAACGCCCACACGCGGTCCACGAGCCTCACGAAACAACGGCCATTTGACTTTGAAAAACGCAAACGCAGCACACGCGGATCCCGGTGTCGCCGATACGCGATGTATGATGATGTAGGTCAGGTATCACACCACTTTGTTCTCCTCTTTTCCCCCCCTCTCAACCCTCCGCTTGGATTACGTCGCGCCCGTCGCGGGGTTCACCGATTTATGCTACCTGTTGCCCTGTTGCGCAAGTATCACGCGCGCGCGATCGACATTGACGACAATGACGACGTTGACGTCAATCGGATGTCATTTACGATAAAATTCGCTCGTGGTGCTTTGGATCCCGCGTTGCTGATGAAGCGAGCGAGATCGCCGAGATAATTGTAGATAATAATGATATTCGCACTTTTACTTACTGCGCGTGTGGCGATCCCGTTCAGCGCAACGACGTTGACGATCGATGACGATCTCTCTCCTTCGATTTATTGGCGCCGGGCCGGGCAGAACATAAAGATATCTTAGATATCGTCGTCGAATTTAAGTTAAGCGCCGGACATGGTCATCGCGAAGGGAAGTCCCCCATGGAGATCGACAACTCTCGGATCGAAAAGGTCAAGAGACCTTTCTCGATGGTGAACACTGAACAGCGAAGGATCGAAAGTCAAGAGGCACGTCTGATACGTCTGCGTCTGGTCGTGACTCGTGACACGATTGGCTACGTGCCACGTGCCGCCGGTGCCGCTAACCAATCGCGCAATTTTCAAGTCGCTTATTTCCCGACTTCCGCTTTCGGCCGAGCAGGTGAGTAGGCGCCAAATTTCAATTCGATGCTCAACTCTTATCTCATTAATGAGATCGCGATTTTAATTTCCGCGCAGTCTACAAATATTCCAATGCCATTTAATTATGTTAATTAATGTAAATATTAATTCTCTACGGACGTTTGTTCCTTTATGGGCTTAAAAATCGCGATATTGTAGATGGATCTAAAAATAAATCTTCATGAAATAAAAAAGATTCTTCTTGACCTTTTGTTAAATTTTTTTACAGTTAATATGTATTTAATCGACACTGATTATTTTTAAAATCTATTGTATTAAGCTATCTGTTCATTACAATCTTGATTTTGCGGATCATTAAATTGTAAATTATTGTAAAAAATCTTAGCAAAAAATTATTATAATCCTAATAGTATCTGTATCTCGTATTTAGTGCTAAATGCAATTATAAATATGTAATACAATTTCCATTGCCTACATATGCGGACGAAGAAGTTCCTTTACAGCTAATTAATTAAATTTAATTAGGGTCAAAGAAGCAGACGCTGCTTTTGTACAAATTACTTTTTTTTTATTCCTTGTAATAATTTCGTCGAAATGACAATGCGATGTATACGAAATATTAAAAAAGTACAATAGCCCGTTTATACAAAATATGATTTTTACAATACATAAGTATAAGATCGACCACTGTGTGTACGTGTGTACTTCCGCGATGTCTGCTGTAACGCATCAAATGCAATACCACCGACAATTTTGTCTGCTATATCGAAAATAACGAATATACTCGCGCGTGCAGCTTTCTCAGTGTAAAAAAACTACATCCTCCGGCGAGATGACGATCCCGTGCGATGTTCCGCGATCTGTCGAGTTGGACCCTCGTCCCTGTCTCATAAAACGAATTTCTAATTCGCCACATTTACTAATCTTTTTCTTGCTACAAGTCTTTCTCTTTCTCTCTCTCTCTAGTAGCCGTAATCTCTGTTCGGAAAATGTAATATTTGTCGCGTGTTCAGCAACAAAACGAGTAGGATGTAGCGAGAGAGCAAGTTAGGAAAAACTTACAGCGAGACAAAAGCTATGTTTAGGTCTGCTCTTATTCTTGTCATCTTGTCATTGCCTAATCGTTGCCGAATTGTTTCTCGAGGCGGTTTGGTACCGAGGTAGGACAAGCAGCAGCGGTATCGTCATCGGCTGCCTGATTCAAACGTTGGACGTTTTCGATCAAGAGTTTTCCGACCTCGCCAAAAGGAGAATGCCGGAAAACGGCGATTATAGGATAAGTATAATCATAGCATTACGATTAACACAGTGCTTCGCATTCGCGCCTTTTTTCCTTGGCAATATGAATAATTGTTATAAAATGTCACGGATATAGAAAATGGAAGAAGCGACGAGTCGCGCCGTCCCCGTTCCTTTCCTTCGTTTTCGTGTGGCAGCTTTTCTAAGCGGCTATCTTCTCGGCGTCGATCGCTGAAACAATATTGCCTCGGTAAACGATGTGCCATCTCAATACGGATACAAAAACAAATTGAGAATATACAGCGTACGAACCTTCTTTGGTGGGTAGAGGATTTTTCTCGAGGGTTTCCGCATGCTTCAACTTCGCTGGATTAAAATTCTCGATACCAGAGATCAGCTGTTGCTTCCCCTTTTCTTGTTGGATCGCTGCATAGAGAATAAAATGTCATTAGTTTATAATAATTATAATTTAATAAGATATTATTTGTAACAAGTTATTGCTTTGTTTATTATTCCGTAATGTGACTGTAACACGAACAGTAAAAAAAAAACAATATAATAGAAAGATTGTCCACTATTTTAAAATCAATCTTCGAATCGAAGACTAAAAATTTACAATGTCATAAGATAATTTTTTATTAGCTTTTAATTCACCTAGTGATTCACGGAGTTGGACTATACTGTACATAAGTCAATTTAAAAACCTGACTTATATATCGTACCATCTTTATCGGGTAATGGGTTCTTCTCCTGCGTCTCGGTGTGCTTCAGACTCGCGGTGTCAAACTTCTCGATACCGGCGATCAATGTTTGCTGAGTCTTCTCCGCGGCAACGTCTAAAAGCAGGCAAATCATATTTCAGAAATAGGATTGAATAAATTACATGCAGAATCACGACTCAGGAATAGAGTGTTTCATTTAGCTACAGGATTTGCTATATCCAGCTAGTAACGTAGCTCGAACGGATCTCAGTGAAGGATAAATTCAAAAACTGTTTACACGATTTATGATCGCCGCATGATCGACGGACAGCGCGATCAATCAATGATTGGTACCGTTTGTCGTCCTTCCTTTATAATGAACTTGCTATTAATACCTCGTGCATTCAGATAAAGTCTACGTATTTTTATGAGACGAAATTACGCGTTACACTTAAGCTCGAGTTAAAATAATGAGAAACTAAAGTTTCCTTAATAATTCTTAATTACAAAATTAATGTATTCGATTTATATTTATATTTTATTTTAACAAGTTCCTTTTTGGATTTATCTTCCTGAATATCAGATTAACTTCTTGCTACAGTATATATAAGAATCTGATTTTAATTTTAAGATTTTATGATTTTATTTTAATCCACATTAGAAATTTAAGTCGCGAGAAGCCTTGTGTTTTGAATAGTTTATAACTCGACTTTTCAGTTGAGAAAGTATCGATTGCTTATTCTTTGCATCAAGGAATCCATATAAAATAAAGGGAAGCAAATCTAAGAAGACCTGTATAAATATTACACAAAAATTACTTTTTAAAATCTGTTCTTTATCCTTGTAAGATTGTGCAGCAAGAAGTTAAACAAAAGGACAAGCAGTAGTATGATCCCAAAATGCTATTAAAGCCACCAGTAAAAATTTTCCTTCATTGTAGAATTATTCTAAGATAAAGCTTTGCAGGCGAGAGATTGTTCCCTGAAAAGCAGAAGCGATAGTTGATATCGGATTTTTGCTGCCACCATGAAAAAGCCAAGGAGATACTCGTCGCAGAACTGGAGAATGAGATTCCAGAAATTTCTCCAATCTTTAATGAGCAATACCTTTGGCGTTAGGCAACACAATCTTCTCTTTCGTGTCGGCATGCTTCAACTGATCTGCCTTAAAAGTTTCCACGTCATGTATCAACTCAGAATGTTGCCGCTCCTGCCGCACGTCTATGTCAGCAATTCACACATTTTTATTGCAGCTGCTATTGTTTTTATTGGGATACCGCACTGGTAAGCTTTGCGCTTAAATCGTTTCTCTTAATTTAATATTTTGCGAGCAAACTCAATATTTTTACACCCTGCATTTAACACTAAATACATTTAGTTCTATACTAATCTACTTGAATAAAATTAAATAAAGATCATAAATTTTTAAATCATTTAAATCAGAATAAAAAAATATCATTAAACATTAATCATATAGATACCAATTAATCAAATATATTAATGAAATAGAATGCAAAAAATATATAATTATTAAATTTTTAATATGTTACAAATAAAACATATAAGTGAGATAATTCAGTTCAATGTAAATTAACTTTAAACAAAAAATGAGATATATTCTTGCAATTTATGTACCTTCGGCGGAGGGTAAAACGTTCTTTTCGGCGGTAGCGGCTTTCTTCATACAGCCATGATTGAAACCTTCCAATTCGCTTTTCAGATCTAGTGCTACTTTGGGCAGGTCCTTCAACGACGGACTCGACATGATTCAGCCTTGTACTTCTTAATCTGTAAAAAGAGACGAGTGTAGGATCAATCATCTTTGCTTGATAGATACATTTTTAAAGATCAAAGTTTGTAATTCCAATAAAAAAATTGCCAACTTTTCTAATGTTTAAACGGCTATTTTATTGATTCATTCAAGCTAACAATAGTCTGGTATATATTGTATTTTACATAGATATGCAATGTACGATAATTTTATTACTTGAAGATTCTTGAAGGATTTGAGATTACTGAACTGTTAAAAAAATGTCAATGTGTAAATAATCGTACGTTATAATCTGAAGTACGTTGTTGATTAGTACGCAATCAGTACGCAACACATATCCCGAATATGTGATCGTCCGTTTTCTTTTTCTTTTAAAGTACATTTAACAACGCGAAACACAGAAAATAATACAAATTTGTTTTTCCAAAGTAATATTTTCTTAAGTTTTCGCTTATATACGTTTATATTCAACGAACGGTACATATAATATATGATACTAATGTAAAAGGTGTCCGTGCAAGGTGTACGGGCACCTGCTCGTAACGTAATCGATTTAACTTCCTGGAAGATAGCGGAACACGAACGATATCGCACGTGTTATTAAGTGCGAGAACCATTTCCACGTAAGGTGCACAAAGAGCATTGCTCAACAAATATGAGTGTATCAGCGAGAGACGGTACCGTGCAGTTTCCAATTGTTAGCGCGAACGTGTCATTTCTTTTGTTAAACCGCACCAACAATCCGCGAGCTGACAACAGCGGCTGCTATTGAATGCCAACGAGGCTGAAGCCGGGAATGAAGCTATCGACAACGACGTCGGAATTGCACGTCGTATCGTCACGATACACCGCAAATACAGCAAAAATACGACTTCCCTCGTCGATATATTCGCCGAACGCGACTAAGATTTCGCAGACTCGACACTTTAGAAGTTTCCTCTTTTTAAATTCAGAAGATCCCAACCAAGGTATGATATAGCACAAAATTTCTTTTATTTTGCTCGGATATCCTGCTATTTTGTTGTTTATAACAGTAAAAACGTCCGGTACTGTTAACTTAGAAATAAGAAATTTCATAAAATAAAATTTAAGACCGTTACGTAATAAATTGAGAAAAAAATAAATAAAAAGTTGTAGATGTAGAAAATTATTACATGAGAAATCTGATTTATCTGCGAACTCACGCGACTCTCGAGCAGAGAATTTATGTATCACGCGACGGAAACAGCGGTGGTTCGTTGCTTCCGGTCTCCGTTTCCTTCTAGTATATTTCCTTGTCACACTTCCTTCGTAAGCACAGCAACAACTGCGTCAGCGTGAAATATTATCGATACGAAGTCACAAAATTATCAAAGTAAAAGAAATACATCTCAGATAAGATGTAAACATGATTGCTAACTTATGATGTAAACATGATTGTTAACTTATGATTGCATATGGTAACGCGATCATTACATAGCGATGTTTAATGTATAATGCTTTAAATAATAAAATCTGACAATTTCTGTGCATTCGCGTTGAATATTCCCAATCTTTTACTTCACGCTTCGCATTGAAAGATATTACTACGCTACAGTTGATTTCATCCGCCCGTCATTCATCATTTACGATAACGACGCACATTACATGACCAAGAAGAACACTGATAAATACTGCGTTCTTTCGCCTTTTTCCTCCAAAGAACACGACTATATCTTCGTGACCGACCATACATTACATTACAAAGTTAAATTACAGCTGTGCATACAGATTTATCATGGAATGTATCACATACATTTACGTCAGAAACCAAACAAGTTTTTTTTAAAGAAAATGAAATAAATCTGAAAAATATTTCTCAAAATTATTGCTTTAAATGGCAAATGATACTTTCGGGAGAAAGAAAACGTCCTGCAACCACCGAGTCAGACGTTGCTCCGCCAATAAATTGATAGTTGTGGCACGAAATAAACGTCGCAGCGTCGTCTGGCTGTGTACACGCGCCTCTATATCAACATATATAGATACTTATATATATTGAATCCAGTACTGGCGACGCATTTACGTGCTAAACTGTCAATGACTCATTCGTCGGATGCCCCCTTTGCCCACCCCCTTTCACCAAACGGGCTTCTCAGCAACGTTCGCGATTGTGCGCATTCAGGCAGACTTAAAACTTTACATGAGTCAACGTGAAAAAATGTAAGAAAAGAACGCAATACTAATTACGCTTACGTAGGCGATCGGTATCGATCTGCATTTAACTCCCACGTGCTTTTTTCCTAATCGTGTTGTGTTCTGCAATTTATGACATTTGATTGCAAATCAATCTTTTTTTTTTCTCTTTATGCGTCTATATTGCACGCGCAACGATTGCATTTCCTGTGCATCTGGAAATAAATTAGATTAATATTCCAGTATATTCAGTATATTAATTATATTATCTCATATAATAAATGATATTAATTGTATCGTTCACATGCGAAAGAAAATTACTATTACCTACGTTAATTAAAATATATATTTCTCTTTATCGTATAGCACGTTATTTGTACCGTATGAGAGCTTGTTGAAAAACCAATGGCGATAACATCGAATTCGCCCATATGCGAATAAACTTGCGGGTTCAAAAGAGACGCGGAGAGTAAGAAAAGATCTGCATTCCACGTGGGTGAAGTCACGGGGACGTCGGATATTACTAACCACATTATCGGCACACACGGCGTGATTGTGCAACATCTTCGACGACAGTGCAAGGTCATCAATTTTGTCCGACTTTTTTTTCTACGATGCTTTTCAAATGTGCGACGATTCTGGGCGGAAGAACAATCTTGCAAAACGAACGGCTGAAAAGATAAACGGATATTGCGCGGGTGATAGATCCATCGGAGATTCGTGAAAGACTTGAATCTCCAGCAGCACTCTATTTTTTCAGAGCTGCAATATTTTAGGCTCAATTATAATAGAATATTGAGCATGTAAAAGTACAGAAAAAAAGCTGATAAAAAAAACAAACCGGTCTCTCGAGTCGCTCGTCGAGTCTGAGTTTTGGGTCCGGGACGATACGTTCCTGGGATCGCGAGAGAGGGCTTTCGAGAGATACGTTCAAACGGTGGGTCAGCATCGACAAGGCTGTGTATAGGTCCTTATATGGTAGCCGGTCGTATATGTCTGTATATAGGGAGAGCTCGAAAAAGAGGCCGAATACGCAACAGAAAAGCAGCGGGAACTCCAACTCACACATACCCTTTGCGTATCCGCTTTGCTAAATTCTTTTCTTTTTTTTTCATTCTTTTCGTACGCCTGTGTGGGCGTACGAGCACGAGTACGTGTGTGCACAAGACTCATGTGCAACAAGGCTGCATGTAACGGTAAGAGACGAGGACGAGATCTCGATTGTCCGCAACCAAGACGGAGCACAGATAAAACAGTATAATTTTCTTCTTACGCAGCAGATTATGAGATGTTTCGCGAATCTATCGCAAAAAATTAAGTCACTAACTTTGACAAAAAAAAAAAACAAAGAAGATTGCAAAGCATTTTTCATTCATTAACGCATATAAAAATATATTTTCGTCTTTTAGTTGCCGAATAATTTACTCAGAGGCATGTTCTACATCACGGTCGCCACGCGATAAGTAATCCATAATTGATAAAAATCGATACAGATTCGATGTAATGCGATTTAATATCGTTTCTTAATAAAATACCTTTGTTACACGTTACTAATTAGTTTTAATCGCGAGTATCGCTTGCGCTCGTCGCGCGTTTAAGAGCGGCAAGAAAATTACGAGCGCTTTAAGGCCGACAAGAAACGCCGTAACGCAACGACCGTTAGTTCCATTTAATTGAACATCCATAGATCCTAGCCGAGCCGTGGCAAACAACAAGACGGGGTAAGCTTCTTATTGGTTATTATGCAAACTGCAAACGGTGGAATTTAATGAGGCGAGCCGACGCGAGACGACGCTCGCACAGTGAAACTTGGATAAATCTTGGCTCGATCTTCTCGAGTGGATTCGCGAGGTGAAAAGCGAGCCTCTCCGCGAGAAGTTAACGAGAAACTAGGTTGCCAATGCGGTCGAGATGCGCCGGCAGAAACCGACGGTAGAGTCATCGAGATAGATTAGGCATCCAGGTTGATATTTCATACGAGTGCGAGTGTGTTGTAAGAGTGCCCGAGGCACGATTTCTAGTACTTGATTTTCAAACGAGGAAAGTATGGCTCTAGGTCGTGCATCCCCATTAATGCGCGCGGCCTGTAAACATTTTCCAAACATTAGAAACTGGCGTCTAATAAACTAGCGTCTATTCACGCTTCAGAAACTTAACAATTTAGTTAAGTATATCAAAAAGTTTTACTGGTACAAGTTCACTTAACGTTTTTGAACTGTTAACTGAGGAACAAGTGTTTACAGCTTACCTCGCAACAGGTTTAAGAATCAGGATTAATATTTCAGGATTATATCATAGACTCTGGAGTAGGAAATAGCAAGTGGCTAAGCCAAGCGTGTCTAAGACGCTCCGACACCGCGTTCAGCCCAAAATTCATCTAATCTAAAGCCTTGCAAATCGGCCGTCAAGTTCGGGGGACTCCTCAGTCCTCCGCGAGGACGCATTGTCGTAGGCACACGGTTCGCGGAACGAGATCCTACGGTCGCTGGCTAACGAGTCCGCGCTGGCTGCCAATTAACTTGGGCAATCGCGTTTAATGGTGGGCCTTCTGGTACCGGCTCTCTTTCCTCGTCTCTTTCGCGCCACGCGTCCACACGTGCAACGGCGTACACGGGCCTGTATCGATCGGCGGTGTAGGCCGCTCCGGAGAGCGGCGAGGCACCTACGCGCGTATACAATGCCCACGTGAAACCGCCGGCTGCATTTGTATCTGTATAGCTAGAGAAACGCTTTACCGAGCGACGGCGACTGTTGAGCAACCGCGATTCTCTTTCTCTCCCCTTTTTCTCTCTCTCTCTCCAGCTCTCTTCCGTGCGACCGTGACGGCTAACGAACCCTGGACGCGCGTATCGTATCGAGCGGTGGCGCGTACATGCCCCAGGGACGTATATAGGCGCGAGGCTGTATTATATAAATATTGTCCGAATCACGAACGTCCCGATGTCGAGTGCTCCAGCACGAACAAGACGGTTTCCGAGTTACGAGCGACCGAGCGACCAGGCGGAGTTCCTAGGTCTCCCAAGCTGAAACACTTGCCAGGACAGATTGAAAAACCATGTTACAGAACAACCGATTACGCGCGTGACACGCTTACTTGGAATTTCTTAGCTCAACGGGATCCTCGAGTCCCACGAAGCCGTTCACAATCGGGCTAAAACTGAGAGTCCTGGCAACACGTTAAAGAGAGACGCGAAATCTATCTGTGGCAATTAAACAAGAAAGAGTAGAATGAGAAAGAATCAAAAGTAATCGTGAATTCGTTGTTCCTTCGTCGACAATATTAGAATTTATACGCATGAGTCATTGTCCGCACGAGTCTGAAAAGGATAACGGTTTATCGATATGAATCTCTCGGTCCTCTCGGTCAATACTGCCAATAGACACACACGTCGCGTAATGCGTGTAACTTCAGCCGTCGAGAAGTCGAGGCATCCCTGGCGCCTGAACGTATGCACCAAGTGTCACTTAAGCGCCAACTTGGCTCAAGAAAGTACGCCGCCGTACGGCACCGTGCGCGAAACCGCGATTTAGAAGGAAGCTCGTTAACTCGCGCCGCAGCTTCCTCGGCACGTTCATTACCGGCGTTTATGCGGAGTCAATTAAAACCTTCCTGGATCAAGTTAGTTGTTTGCTAATGTATACTCGGAAACCCATCCCTCCACGGAAGTAACAGAACCTCCAAAGTATTTCAACATGGGGAATCGCACACGAACCTCTCGGAAGCCAAGCTTGTAAATTACTTATATTTTAATGTCAGAGTATTAATTGATTACAATTTTGTCGATATTCTCTACCTTCTCTTTCAGGGTCGATATCAGTTTAACTTCTAAAACGCTCATACATCCCGACGCAACATACTACTATTCACGTAGAGCGATACATTCCCAGGAGCGCCGCTTAATCAGATCTGATTCGATGATCGCCGGAAGGCGAGTCTTCCGCTTTCCGATAGCGCAACGGCCGAACGGCGCGGCGGCGTGCTAATATTGACACGTACACACACGTGCGGACTTGTATTCGCGACGCATGAATGGGTAGGGCGCATACGCAGCATGCACGTACATACACACGCATACATGGATGCAACGACGGGGGAGGCAGCGCCGAGCGCCGAGGTTGCGCCAGGGGAGCGGCCGGCGATGGCGGCGGCGGCAGCGGTGGCTGCCGCGGCAGACGGTTTCATCGATTGGCATTGCCGGCATCGTCCGGAGGAGAGTGTGAGCGGGGTCCGTGAACTCTGCGCCGACGGCGCATCCCGGTTTTCATGGTCATGGGTAAGAGGGCGGTTTCCCTCGACGGAGGGAGGCCGAGAGTCGCGTCCTTTGCCTCGCGCGACTCGCGATCTGGGACAATTGTCGTAATAGTATCACTGATATCGTTATTCTCGTCATTCCTTCTCTCCCCTCTGAAGCCTCACATTCAAATCGAACGAAATGTTTTAGCGTTCTAGTCGGAAACACGCATTCAATACGAATTTGAATTTCAATGCCGAGCTGAAATGATGTTCCATTCACGGTTCTGATGTTATAATACGCTTTCTATCCGTTTAATTACGAATGGACACGAAATGAACTGAAGGAGAAATAAGGCCGTCACTATCCGTATGCGAGTCCCGCAACTCTCAGGAAAACGAAGGTATTGTCCGGCTGACGTGGCGAGATGTAATAGAATATCTTGGGTCTTGGGTGTATGACGGGTGGGCTCGCGAGACAGAAACGGTCTCGCGATCTGGGAGACGCTAATCGCGAGCAAGCCGAGCCGGGTAAATGCAATTGTCGAGCATGGAAGCGCGCGATTCGCGACGGCGGAGTTGCGCTTATACAGAAGCCTAGGTCTCCTCGTTCGCCTTGAAACGCTCGGGACATGATAAAATGCAAATGAAACGCCCGACACAGCGTTTCTCCCTTAGGAAAACGCAAAACGTGGGGAAATTGCCATAATCGAATTCGACAAATAAAGAGTAAATCCGTAATTTCTAACTGCGAGTTTTCTTGAAATTAAGAAAATGTGATATATTAACGTGAGGATTATATGATTGAAAATTGCAATGTATCTAATATCTACTAATCGTAAAGTTAAAATAAGGTAATTAATGTTTAACTATATTTCCAGAAATTATTCTATGAGCGTAAAAGGTCAGCGCCGAATGTGCGATGCATAAGCACAGAAAACGAGTACTGGACACTACTGGACCGACGACGACGACGACAACGATGAGAGGAAGACGCATATGCACGCTCCGCGTGCGTTGTATGCATCTGTCAAAACCACGCCCTTATCCCCATCCTGTTGCCTCGCGCTATTCGCCTGTATACGAAGGAGGAGCAAGGAAGTTATCCGACAGGCTTTCCACGATTGAAACAATCTGCCTCCCTTCGAGAGAGCGATCGAATTTAATTACCGTTAGCAGCTCTAATTGGACATGTTAAAGACTAAATTACATTTTGAAAATAATTCTTTGAACAAATAGGAATATACGGCGAAATGCAAAAAATGACAGTAAAGATAACACGATAAAGAAAAATATCGAGACGTGTCCTATGATAACATATATGAAGCGAACGAAACAGGGAGCGATCGATGAATAAGTTTTAATACGCTGTCTAATTTTACGTTTGACACATTTGCGTTTCCATAAACACACATTTGTGGAAAGTAGTATCCTTAGAATTAATCCTGATCGCTCTTTCGGAGCGTTTCAAATTGGTCTGATCAAAAACGCTATGAATTCGTACGATACAGTCCACTAATTAATTCGGGCTCATTAATTCACGTTCGTTAATCTTATCCTTATGCATATGTATAATTGCAGCGAGATATAATACGGTACGTATAAGGTATCACCCAAGTAACAAGTATATATAAAAAATCCTTGTCGGTGAGCGACAAAAGGTCTAGTTCCCACGTTTTAATAATAGGCATTTTATGGCGTTGTAATTTTAGGGAAATATACGGTAATGGGTATCGTAATGATATAAAGCAGTTACGATGGAACGATCATTATTATAACGGTAAATCACTCATTCCCGGTTCGTCCGATTCTCCGTCATATTCCACGAAGAACATTATTAATCCGTGATGCCATCGTTCAATTATGTGGAGACGAAGGAATAAAAATCATTCTTTTCTCCTAGAAAGTAAGACGCCTTTCGACCACACCCCGGGTCCATTTTCGATCGCGTCGAAAGACCGATCGATATCTCGGTGCTCGGTGGCCCGGCCGGTGGAGACACGTAATTTCGTGGTATGCAATTTATTATACATTATAGATTATAGTCATGAAAAATCCATCCTACAATGTTCCTATCATCGCCGTATATACATAATAAAAGTCTCACATTTGTCCCTGTATCTATAGAGCGACAATGAAGAAATTTAACTTCCCACGCTGCAGACAAAATGGAATTGACGCCGAAATCTCGCCTTTTGATTATCGTGAACAAACATAAACGGCTCAATGCTGCGTGTTTATATCGAAGCGTGAGCTCGATGATAATTGTAACGAAGTCTGTGGGCGCTGTTACGAAGGCCACACCGTTACCGAGATAAGTTAACACGCGTGTTAAAGCTATATCAAACGAGAATCGTATGCCGGGGAATCGTGATAACGCCGACTTATAAGGCGGTCGCAACCATCGTCTCACAAGAACGAAACCTTATTTCTAGACCACTATCTTTGGACGAACTTTGGACAAAGATCACTAGTTAGCTTCACCAATTCGGGACTCTCAGCTGGGATACTTCGCAAGTGAAGAACCGATCGCCGAACGAATTACGCCGATCCTACGCGAAAGAAAGCATCATTGAACACAAAGTATCACGGCTCGACCGTAGAGATTCTCACGGCAGTCTGGGGTCAATCCTTTTTCACTTCCGCAAATTAATATGCGAAAAAAAAAAAACAAGAGGCGATGAAAGGAGGAAGAAGACGCTCGCTGTCCGTGAATCTCTTTGGAAAGCCGGGCGAGTAACTTCTTTTAAAATACACAGGAATCGAGGAGATGTTCGAAATCGTCTTTGGAGGATGTTTAGAGTTTACTGTTCGGGCCGATTCATTCGGAGGGCTCGCCTTTAATCCGCCATTGGACGCACATCGCTGTGGGGAAACCGTGGCAAAGGGTGCACTGACCTGTCAGTTGACGCGTGCGAGTTTCTAGGGCGCAGGCAGGCGCGTACACTGTCGAACAGCAGGCGAACGTTGCTCAAAGGCAGGAACGAGACGGTACACGGTACACTGACTGACCGGTTAGCGCTTCTGCGGCACGTAACACCAGGTAACAGCGTCGAGCAGCGCCCATCATTCATCCCCCTCTACCCGAGGTCTCCCTCCTCAGGGCGACAGGCCCCTCTCGCCAGGATCGGCGCAGAAAAGGATTCGATGGAGTATCCGTAGAGCCTCTGACAATACCGATAACACGCTCTGAAATAATTGGATAGTTTATAGTTAATAACGTAAATAATTAATTATAATAGAGCATCACACAAAGGGAAATCTTTTAGTTTAGTTTTATTATATGTATTCGCAATAAACGAGAAATGAAACAAGTTGAACGGTACTCGTATACTCAGTAATTTACTAATTTAGAATTAACTTTTCTATGTACACACACACAGCAAGAGAACAATACTACAGAAATATATTTATGTTATAAATCATATGTCGTTTCTTTTGCAACACAACACAAGTCCAGCATCTGGGCCTAGCGAGTGCACATCTCGTTCCTGGATTGGAATCCCACCGCTCTCGAATGAGGACCAATCGACGCTTAGCTGCTACCTCCCCAATCGCGCCAATTAATCGCGTCCCCCTTTCCTACGAGTTTCTTCCGATCGTCTCCTTGACCGTCATGCGGAGGGGTAACTGACTCACCCTCAGCGACGACCGGGAATTCACGTTCGACGCACCGCCGGCGCCGCAAATCTGACATTGAACGACGGCGTGACCTCTTCCCTCTTCTTTCGGCGACGATTTTTTTTACGTTGCCGTGCCGTTCGTCTTATATCCTTTCCCTTGTTTTTCTCTCTCCTTCTTCAGCTGAACAATCCGTTTCGCGATAATCTATTCCCGCCGCGTTAGGGAGGGGGTGAAAAGGAACAGAAGACTAAAATATCGGGGGTTGACACACGTCAGTGAGTCATCAGTTTCCTGCGCACATGCGGGCCCATCTGCGCGTCATATGTTCGTCAGACTACGTTAGGTTTAGCTGAGAACCCGAAATAATTGAGTAAAAACCGATACAATTTCGTAGTTTTTTTTCCCCCAGATACGGCATAACAGTTGTACGATAATTTTTAGTTAGTTTGAAGCAAGTCAAACTGAATTAAATTTTTTGAAATTACAATGGTCGAACGCGGAATGTTAATTATCGCCTTCTACAACTCCCTTCTCTATGTATATATAATACTATGTAACAAATTGTTTCTTATAAATAATAAAAATATACTAATGTGCAACTCGATAATATCTATATAAGTAAAGTTCGAAACAAATAACTATAGGAACGGCTTGGAACGATTTGGATATGAAATATTGATCTGCATTGACATGAACTTTTATTGACAGTTGAAATACCTCTTACCACTAAATTTAATACACGTCACATACTTTCTTATTGTAATGTAACCGTTAGGAATATATACAAAAAGCCATTATAAGGGAGCTCATATTACTATACGGCGATACATTGAAAATTTATATTCTCAGACGTATGAATAATAAAGAATATCTTATCTAAATGCACGAATTGTTTAAGTCGGATGATGTGTATCGCTAAACCTAAACTGATACCTAAGAAAAAATAATAAAAAATGAAAGAAGCAAAAGACGTGGCTAATCATGATTTAAAGTTTAAGAAAAAAAATTAAATCATAAGTTGCCTCAAATCAACAACAATGTTGCATTTTTAAAATGAAACCCCGATCGTGGATAGTAAATTAAATATCGAGGTAATCGAGCTTCGATCAATATACAGGCTTTAAAACCTATCATTATTACGATTAATGATCGGAAAAGGTACAAGATAGGTATTGATTTTTAAATGTGACTTGATATAAAAAATGGTGAAAGAAAAAAAAAGGCGAAATAGTAGTTTGCTGATCTTTTTTATCTCTTTGCTTAGTCGGCTTTCTGTTTACTGCTGTCCGGCGATTTATCTCCATTCATGGGCGAACGAGAGCGGCTACGGCTCTTGCTATGTTTGCTTCCCGATCGGGATCGGGATCTGTCGCCTCTGGAACGCTCGCGGCTCGACCTATCCCTGAAAGGAGGAACATTTATGACGTTTATTACTTGTGTCATCACTTGAAAATATTTTATTTTCTTGCGCCAACTATGTATCGATTAAAGAACAGGCCAGCGAGAGGACTCACTTTGAGGGAGACTTGGCTTTGGATTTGGACTGCGACCTGGACTTTGACCTCTCAGCCTTGGACCTAGAACGAGATCTGGATTTGGACTTTGACTTAGATTTCGACTTTGAGCGGTCTCTTGATCTGCAAAATTATAGTTCAAAATGAAAGGAATACGAAAATAGAGAAAGTTGACAAAATACAAAGAAACTCGCTTTCTTTCTTTTGTCGTTTTCCAAGCGCGGTGAGTAGGTGAACGCATATAAAGCGTGATTAAGCGTGAGAGCTCAAGGCACGTAGCCAGCCCAAAAACAATGCCAATAATAAATGGGAATGAAAGTGTACACTGACTGTGACGACTAACTGCGCAAGAAAAAAAAATAAAATAAGTGAAACAAACAAATAAATAAATAAATAAATAAATAA